CCTCGACTATGGTGCTGTTCGCACCTACTCCTAGGTTGAGGGACTGATTACCTCATCTTCTGTACATAGTTCTACTGTCTTCAAGTTATGTCCTGGAATTTGTATTGATAAAGCCACTGGATGGCGAAACATCTACAATAAAGATACCCAGATGTTGCACATGTGTCTTACTCTCACATTGTACTTTTTATTGTTTTTTGATGCCTGGTTCTATTGCTAACTTAATATATGTTAGTGTAAACTTGTTATCTAGTGTTTGTATGCATTTGTAAGTGGAAGAAAAGGGTGTTCCACTTTACGGCGGTTTCCGCTTTACGGCGGTAGCCTGGAACCTAACCAGCCGTATAAGTGGGGCCTTCCTGTATATGCAAAATGGCGAGGAGCTGAGAGGGATGCAAGTTTATTGTTTGGAGACAGGACAAAATGCTTAAATGTGATGCTATTATCAACTGTACAGCTTATTTATCTATCAAAGTTCATCTAACATGGCATAATAAACAATATTAGTAACAAAGAAACATGATAAAGTATACTAATTACATATGTGAGGATTGGTGGTGGTGGTGGTGTTTGGTTTATAAGGACCACTGACAGCATAAGCTGTACATATAGTGGTGGTGGCTCTGCTACCACCACTGTTCACGCTGAAACAGTGTACAGTAGGGCCCCACTTATACGGCAGGTTAGGTTCCAGGCTACTCCTGGAAAGCAGAATGCCATTTTTTCCACTTACAAATGCATATGAATGCCAGATAACAAGTTTACACTAACATATATTAAATTAGCAATAGAACTAGGCATTAAAAAACAATAAAAAGAATACACACACACAGTACACTCATTATTTACCTCAAAATATTCGTAGTCTTAATGTAGGGCAAAAGGTGAGTAGCATTTACTATAAGAAGTTAGGTGTGGCAGCCCTCCTGGCCACCTTCACCCACACATAATATACTACGATGATGCTTAAAGCTCCATAGTGATAAAATGCATATACAGTACACCCATTACTTACCTTAAAATATTTGTAGTCTTAATGTAGGGTGAAAGGTGAAAAGTATTTACATATTTGTAGAAAGTCGTGTGGTAGGTAGGGTAGTGTAATTAAGTAAGTTTATTCAGGTATACACAAATACAGTTACATAGAATTATCATACATAGCAGCATATGTGTAAAGAACCTAGGAGAACCCAATAAAGTCAGGGAAAAGTGTAGGGAAGCCTGTCTGGCCACCCTACCCACTATATAAACAAACAGACATTGCATCTGGTTATGGTTCATAAACATTCATACAGACACCTTACATTGTATACAAATTGTCTCCACAGTGGTACAGTAGAATAAATAAAGACCAATACTTCCATTCTCATGTAATTTTTAGAAGGAATGATGCTCTGACAAATTATTATTATTATTACAAATTATTATCACAAATTATCACAAATTATTATTACAAATTATTATTACAAATTATTATTGCAAATTATTATTGCAAGTTATTATTATTATAATCATAATAAAAAAGAAGTACTAAACCCACAAGGGTCATGAATTGCTATATATAGAGTGAAGGCATACAAAAGGAATATTTATCTACAGTTATCCCCCAGTGTTTGACTAGAGAAAACTTAATTCTTTGGACACTCCTACAGTGCCGCTTTGTAAACAAATCTCATATTTGTCAATTTTTATTCTGTGGGTGTATGTATAATGTTTATATGCTATGTAACATGTTTCTTATATAATTTTGAAGAAAATATCGTAGATGGATTAATGAAAAATGTCTATATGAACGTAAAATAAGACAATGTGCCCAAGAGAGATTATTGTTACGTAGTATTACTATGGCTTCATGAGTAGAGACTTTTAGTGATTTTAATGTGTACCTGCATGCCAGCACAGTGTGTAAGTATATTTATATACAGGTACACATAAGCATAATTAACAGAATACATATAAAATACACTTGAAATTTTAAAAAGTTTTCAGACATGATAGATGTGATGAACTTTCACCTTTTACTTGCTGATGCCATTCTCCTTATACCCAAACTTCCTCTTAATATTACTATAGCTATAACTGAATAAAGATATGATATATCTGTTACCCCTCTAAAAGCATGTACATCCTGAAGTTTACCCATCAACCTTTTATCCACCAGTACATAGTCCTTCACACTTCCGTCAATTCGCCCTATATCATATCTGATATACTTATCCTCTTTTTCTTAAAATATGTATTATTACCAAGCCTCTTTCCATACAATATTCAATTAAAGGCCTTCCATTATCATTTACTCCTTGACACCCCAAACTTATCTACTACGTCCTCTATAAGAGTTGCTCCTCGACTACAATTACAGTACTCTCTTACTTGGTTCAGAACTCCCTAAATACTCGCTTAACATCTCCCAAAATATATATATATCTCCTCTACACTACTTTGTTCTCCAGGTGCATAAACACTTAGTATGACCCTCTTTTACATTTGACCCTTATTTTAATCCACATAATTCTTGAATTTTTACATTTATTTTCCTTTGCCATTACTGATCTTTCAACATTATTACTTCTCCTTCCTTAGCTGAAACTCTCAGGTTTTCATGAACTAATTCCATTCATTTCTCCCCACAATCTCTTTAACTCCCTTCAGCTTTGTTTCAATTAAAGTCAAGACATGCAGCTTCTTTTTGTTTATAGCACTGAAAATGAAAACGTTGATTTCCTTGCAAAGTTTACAATATGTGGTTTACATGTTATAAAATATTAATTACAAAGAAGGCCTCTAGCATGCCTAGGCATTTCAGGCAGACTAATACTAATTCTTACTCTATATTGACACAGGTTATAGAGCAGTACATATTAATATACCTTATTGCATACTAGGTAACTGAAGTGATTGATTAGATTTATAATAATGAGGTAGTACAAAACATATAACAGTATTACAGTTAGTAAATTAAGTAATGGGAATGGTTAAGTCTTGGCATGATACACTGTTTTTCTATTAAAGCTCTTAAATTGGGAGACTTAGGTAAACTTACGGCTAAATTAAGATTTATTAGGCAGTAGCTGCATTAGGAATTTTATGTTTACAGTCATTTGGGTGAGTAAGTGTAAATTATGGGGAATCACAGATATCGAGAGTAAATCTATTTTGTTTTGGATGTGTTCATGATCAAAAAAAAAGAGAGAATAGGTGGTTTTCATATAGTTAGCCAGTGATGGGCTGTGTTAGGGAGATAAGATATTTTTTAACAGTAGTTTTGAAAATGGTGGTTGAGTCTGCAGTTCTAGAGTTTTCAGACAGGGAGTTCCAGATTTTAGGCTCTTTTATGTACGTTGACTTTTTTGTAGAGATTTAGCTGGACACGGGGACTGTCATAGAGATTATTGTGTCTGGTATTGTGTCTATGGATCCTGTCACAACTATCAAGAAAGTGTTTTAGTTCAGGGTTAATATTAGAACTAATGGTTCTGTAAATATTGGTTGCACAATAGTAAGTGTGAATGTTCTGTATATTGAGTAAGTTTAAGTCTTTGAAGAGTGGGGGGTGTGTTGCTTAGCATTGGATTGTGTGATAATTCTTACTATGGCTTTTTGTTGGGTTATTATTGGCTTTAGGTGGGTTACTGCTGTTGATCCCCAAGCACAAATAGCATAAGTGAGGTAGGGATAGATGAGTGATTAGTATAGTGTGTGTATGGCTGATTGTGGTACGTAGTAATATATTTGGAGAGGATCCCAACCATTTTGGATACTTTTTTTTTGTTGTGTTGTATGTGTGTTGAATTTCAGGTTGCTGTCAAGGTGCAGACCCAGGAATTTGTCCTCATTATGTTTAGCACTAAGAGTGTGTTGTCAGTCATAATGTTCAGCTGGGTAGCACCTGCTCTGTTACCAAACATAATATAGAAAGAAGGTTTTGTCAGTATTAAGTGTAAGTGTATTAGCAGTCATCCAGGTAGATATTTATACTATTTCTTCGTTAACAATGGCGTTGAGTGAGGCAAGATTAGGGTGGGAGATGACGTAAGTCATGTTGTCAGCTTTCAGATGTTGTATTACATTAGGAAGATCACTGATGCATAAGAGCAAGAGCAGGGGACCAAAGACATTTCCCTGTGGCACTCCAGTATACAGTGGTCTTGTTGATTGACAATCATTGTTTTCTTACCTGCACAACATCCATGCACATTCAGACATCTCAGATTTATAGTTTTTTGTCTTATTATAAATACAGCAAATCTGTAAAAATACAGTACTGTATATATATATAGAAACCATACCACGGGCAGGGATCGAATTCATAGCGAGTGAGTCGTAAAACTCCAAGCCAGAATGTAAGCCACTGGGCCAGCTGGCTACAATAAGTGTCATCCAACTAGGTATATTTATACACCATAGAGAGGTTAGCACAGGCCCCACTGTGACCACAAATGCAAGTTTTTACAGATGAATCTCCCACTAGTGTGGCCATGACAAACTCTAGCTCTAGTCCCCTCAAAGCTGTCATCATGACTAAGGAAACCGTAATGACACAACTGCAAACAAATCATACCACAGGAGGGGATTAAACTCGTGGCGAATGGTTCGTAAAACTCCAGGCCAGTGTGTAAGCCATTGGGTCAGCTGGCTACAATAAGATTCATCCAACTAGGTATATTTATACACCATCAAGAGGTTAGCACAAGCTAGAGTTTGTTACGGCCACGTTGGCAGGAGATTCATTTGTAAAAACTTGCATTCACGGTCACAGTGGCGCCTGTGCTAACCTCTCTATGGTGTATAAATATACCTAGTTGGATGAATCTTATTGTAGCCAGCTGGCCCAGTGGCTTACATGCTGGCCTGGAGTTTTATGATTCACTTGCCACGAGCTCAATCCCCGAACGTGATATGGTTTGTTTGCAATTGTGTCATTACAATTTCATGAGTCCTGTAAACATAGGTTTTCTTAGTCAAATATTGTAGAACTTTTAACATTTTGTTTTTTTCAGCTCTGGAAAAGAATGTGGAAGGAAGGTTATCGATGTAAGAGTGTGTGCTTGTCCTACTCGAGATATCAAAACTGACGAGCAAGCTATATTGTACAAAGGTGGTAAACGGAAAGCCTCAGTCATGCAAGTAAGTTGTAGTCTTTCTTCTGCGTATGACAAACATTGCTGATATATTCATGTTTATTATTATTATTATTATTATTATTGTTATTGTATTCATGAGGAAGCCCTAAACACACAAGGGCCATATAGTGATAAGTAATAGAGGGTAATTAGGTTTGATTCAATAGAGAGGAGAGTAGTTCTGTTTTCTAAGATAAACTTTCACCAGCATCACGGTACCTATGATATTTCTTTTAACAGTTTAGGAGGCCTGGTCTGAGACCAGGTCACTGGGAGTTGTCATCCCAGAATCATTAACCCTTTGACTGTTTTGGTCGTATATATACGTCTTACGAGCCAGTGTTTCGGACATATTAATATGCATAAATTCTTGCGGCTTCAAATCAAGCAGGAGAAAGCTGGTAGGCCCACTTGTGAGAGAATGGGTCTGTGTGGTCAGTGTGCACCACATAAAAATCCTGCAGCACACAGTGCATAATGAGAAAAAGAAAACTGACCGTTTTTTTGGATTAAAACGCCGACTTTGCGGTGTATTTTCGTATAGTATTTATCATTGTATTCTCTTTTTCATGGTCTCGCGTGATAAAATGGAAAACATATTACAGAAATAGAGATGATTTTGATTAGTCTCACAATGTAAACGACCTTGAAATTGAGCTCAAAATAGCGGAAATGTTCGATTTTTACCAATGTTCAGGAGTAAGTAAATCACACCACACGTCCGATACACATCAACTGGGGCGTCTAATATTCTTTCACTAGTGCACTGATATTATTTATACCATTTTTACAATAATGCAGTAGTCTGCATAACAGTAAATTTTGTATTTTTTGTATGAATAAAAAATAAAAATAAAAAGCAATAGTAACATAAGAGGGGCCTAGAGACGTGACTTATGAACAGAGGATATGTTATTTTAGTGCCAAGTATGTCTACATTGTTTATTCTCGACCCTATTTTGAAATTGGCATCTTTTTTAATTTGTGTGAAATTGGCCAGATTGCCAATTTCTGACCACTTTATTGGGTAGTTCAAATTGGTAAATGGGCGGTTTCCTGTACTCAGCTGATAGAAAACATGGAGTTCTAAAGAAATAGCTATGAGTTTGGTCAACTGGAACAACGGAATTGGTCAAAAACGGCTCAGTCAGCGAAATCACCGATGCGTATATGTCGCCAAGACCACTAACTTTGCAGGAGCGTAACTCCGTGAGTTTTCAACCAAATTTCTTACTTTTGGTGTCATTACCATCGGGAAAAGATTCTCTATCATTTCATAAGAAAAAACAATTTTTTTTTTTTTCCAAAAATTTTGCAACATAGAATGACAGTTTCAGAAAGGGGCTTGCGACAGTCAAAGGGTTAATAGATAGATAATAGATAAGGTATTTTGCTAGTTTCAGTAAATTTGGATTTTTTCTCCCAGCAGGAAAAAGTACCACTTGTGACCAGGAAGAAACCTAGGGCAGTCGACCCCAAAACTGAGCCACAAGAAGAAGATAAGATGTTTTTGATTCCTGTGAGTGTTGGTTTCTTTTCTTGAACTGTGTTTTACACTCCACATATTACATTAGTTTGCCTGGAGTTTACCTGGAGAGAGTTCCGGGGGTCAACGCCCCCGTGGCCCGGTCTGTGACCAGGCCTCATGGTGGATCAGCCTGATCAACCAGGCTGTTACTGCTGGCTGCACGCAATCCAGTGTACAAGCCACAGCCCGGCTGGTCAGGTACCGACTTTTGGTTCTTGTCCAGTGCGTGCTTGAAGATAGCCAGGGGTCTATTAGTAATCTCCCTTATGTATGCTGGGATGCAGTTGAACAGTCTTGGGCCCCCTGACATTTATTGTGTTGTCTCTTAACGTGCTAGTGACACAGTTATTATAAGAATGGTGAGATTGTCTCAACACTGGATTTTTATGTTTCTGTGTACTGTACCAATTCTGATGAGCCACAGAAAACACACCACCTAGGAGGTACAAACACCAGTTTGTACCTCCTAGCTCTCAGCTCGGCTTCCTACTGTTCCTCATTCTCTCCGGCACATTGTTTTCTTTACAGGAAGGCCCTTCTTATACAGCAGGTTAGGTTCCATGCTGCTGCTATAAAGCAAAAATTGCTGTAAAGTGAAACAGACTTTGTTCCCTTTCAAATGCATATAAAAGCCTGATAACATGTTTACACTCGTATATTACCCCTTTAACCCGTTAACTGTCCAAATGTAGATCTGCGTTCTTACCGCTAGCGCTCCAAACGTAGATCTACGTTTTGTTTTTCCTGCCTCCAAATTTGGCACTATTGGCCTAAGATGCCTGGTCAGCATAGAATGGGTCTTAACATGGGTGTGCACACTATTAAAAAAAATCTGGGACCACTTAGTACCTTGTGGGAGCACCAGTTCAGTTGAGCGCCAGCTAGAGCAAACAGCATGGCAAACACCAGGGATTCTCTAATATCATGCCTCGGCATGATAGTGGCTATCTTTGTACCTAGCAAATCAAAATTGTAATTACACATTGTAACCTTTACAAAGAAATAAACTTTATTAATATGATTTTCAAGAGGAAAGTGTCATCCTGCCAGAATGTCCTATAACCTTTGCCCTGAGTAAAAAGAAACGATTCTGGAATTGTAATTTCGGCAGGCTGGCTGGCCTCCAATGGAACTCCGTCTTCAAGTGAACAGAGGCTGTAATGCAGTAGTCTGCATAACAGTAAATCTTCTATTTTTTTGTGCGAATAAAAATTCAAAATGGAAAGCAAGCAGAATATTAGACGGGCCTGGAGATGTAACTAATAAACAGAGAAAATGTTATTTTAGTGCCAGGAATGTCTGCATTATTTATTCTGGACCCTATTTTGAAATTGACATTTCTTGAAATTTGTATGAAATTGGACAAATTACCAATCTCTGACCATCTTATTGGGTAGTTGAAATAAATAAATGGGTGGTTTCTTGTACTCAATCAACAGAATAGAAGAAAAATAGCAAAATACATAGCTATGAGTTTGGTAGACTGGAACAGTGGAATGGGCTAAAAATAGGGCGTAAATTAGGTGAAATAGCCAATGCGTATATATCGGTGTTGGCTTAAGTGTATTCTAACCTAACCTAACCACTCTGTAATCCAGCAAAATCACTAATTCGTCATGCTACAGGTCCCAGTGATGCTGGATTAGTGATGGTCAGCCTGTATTAGTCTGTCTGAAATACTCATGCACTCATTCCAGGCAGTTTCTTTATGAGATTGTCGTGCAACTGTCTTGCCTTTTCACAAATTATCAACTGCACAACACTCTCTCCCGCTAACTGTTTATCTTTGGTCCACACAAACAACAGTTTCTCCACATTTTCAGTTGTTTGGGATCTCTGTTTTGTTATCGCATTCACCCCTTTCGCAACATCAGCTTCCATGATTTCTTTCCTCTTCACCACAATGGGGTTGATGGTGTCTTCCTCTATATCCTGCTGAGTTCGGCAATGCGTATGCCACTATCATATTTTTGAATGATTTCTTTTTTCATTTCTATGGTGTTCTTCACTTTCTTTACCAAAGGACAGGCACTAGGCACTTTCTTTGGGGCCATGGTGGTGTATTTAACAGTCATACACAATAAACAAGTGCCAAAAACAATAGATTATTACGAAATGTTTTGTATGACCTTGCAGGATATGTTCACTCACTGAGAAACAACGTGACACTGCCTGAGAATGCTTGTGGGAGGCGGCTTTGTCTGTGCGCTTGGCACTCTACAGGTTTTATACCATTGACCTAAACGGAACCAATATTTTGACCAAAAAAAAGTCGGCAAAAACAGAAATCGGTGATAATGGAGATAGACAAAAAGGGAGGGTCCACTGTACAAACAATTTACATTGCATACAATTTGTCTCCACTTTGGTACAGTAGAATAAATAAAGATCAACACTCCCATTCTCGTGAAACACCATTTTTTAGAAAGAATGACGCTCTGAGTGAAGGCATATGAAAGGAGTAATTTTCTACAGTTACCCTCAGTAATACTGTTGTGTACATATTTTCTATGATGTTGAACTAGAGAAAACATTATTCTTTCTGACACTCCGAGAAAACAACTGGAAAAATCTCATATTTGTGTTAATTTATTCTACTGTGAGGTGTATTTATCATGTTTATATGTTAGTAAGCATGTTTATTATATAATTTAAAAAAAAAATCATAGATGGATTAATGAAAATGTCTGTATTAACATAATACGATATTTGACATTTAATGCGCCTCAGTGATTATTGTTTGTGCTGTTATTATCATTAATATGGCATTTTCAAGACTAATAAAACACTCCTAGTGATTTTAACATGTACCTACACACCAGCACAATGTGTAAGTTTATTTAGGTACAGGTACACATAAGTATAATTATCAGAATATGTATAAAATATGAAATAACTTTAAAACACTTGAAATTTTGGAAAGTTTCCAGACATAATGAAGAGTCATGCTCACGGAGACCTGGTTTGTAAACACACCAGGTGGTGTGCGGTGACTTCATTAGAAAGTCAGTTGGGGGAGCCGTATAGCAAGTTTTGGTCATACTTTGAAATGTCTTTTTTAGTGGAACGCTGTAAGGCGAAACTCCATAAAGTTGGGCCCTACTGTACTCTGCTGTAGTTATTTGTACACTATAGTAGCCATGAAAATTTTGTAATAGTATTGTGTTTTTGAAATTGACCATAATAGCTTATAAGAAAAATGATCCACTTGAATTCAAATTCAGATTTTTATTTCTTTGCATAGTTTACAGTGTGGGATTTACATGTTATAAAAAATGTTTCAATAAATTAACTTAGGAAAGGGATTTATGAAAGGCATTTTTTTTTATTTCAAAGCCATGTAAAAAAAATGTAGAGGTAAGAGAATAATAGCACATGAATAATGCATGTAGAGGAGAGGAAGGCAGGTAACCATTTATAATAATCCAAAATTTTATACATGAACTGCAGGCTTTTGCAATTTTATGTGTAAGCTAATTACAATTCCTGGATATGACTAGAGAGAGTATGAGAGTGTGTATATTCCCAGGTACGTGGCCAAAAACTGTACAACTTCCTCATGGATATGAAGGCTGTATACTACCGCAACCATCCAGAATATGCTGCAAAATACCCTGATGACGATATTAACAGGTCAGTTCCAGTGTGATATTACCATTAGTAATACACCATATTGGTCTTAGTATTATTTATATACTATATTAGTATTATTTATAGGTAGTAGGTTGGTAGACAGCAACCACCCAGGGAAGTACTACCGTCCTGCCAGATGACTGTGAAACAAAAACCTGTAACTGTTTTGCATGATGGTAGGATTGCTGGTTTTCTTTTTCTGTCTCAGAAACACGCTAGATAACAGGGATATCTTGCTACTCCTACTTACACTTTGGTCACACTTCACAGACATGCACATGCATATATATATATATACATACATCTAGGTTTTTCTCCTTATTCTAAATAGCTCTTGTTCTTTTTTATTTCTTCTATTGTCCATGGGGAAGTGGAAAAGAATCTTTCCTCCGTAAGCCATGCGTGTCGTATGAGGCGACTAAAATGCCGGGAGCAATGGGCTAGTAACCCCTTCTGTATACATTTACTAAAAAAGAGAAGAAGAAAAACTTTATAAAACTGGGTTGTTTAAATGTGCGTGGATGTAGTGCGGATGACAAGAAACAGATGATTGCTGATGTTATGAATGAAAAGAAGTTGGATGTCCTGGCTCTAAGCGAAACAAAGCTGAAGGGGGTAGGAGAGTTTCAGTGGGGGGAAATAAATGGGATTAAATCTGGAGTATCTGAGAGAGTTAGAGCAAAGGAAGGGGTAGCAGTAATGTTAAATGATCAGTTATGGAAGGAGAAAAGAGAATATGAATGTGTAAATTCGAGAATTATGTGGATTAAAGTAAAGGTTGGATGCGAGAAGTGGGTCATAATAAGCGTGTATGCACCTGGAGAAGAGAGGAATGCAGAGGAGAGAGAGAGATTTTGGGAGATGTTAAGTGAATGTATAGGAGCCTTTGAACCAAGTGAGAGAGTAATTGTGGTAGGGGACCTGAATGCTAAAGTAGGAGAAACTTTTAGAGAGGGTGTGGTAGGTAAGTTTGGGGTGCCAGGTGTAAATGATAATGGGAGCCCTTTGATTGAACTTTGTATAGAAAGGGGTTTAGTTATAGGTAATACATATTTTAAGAAAAAGAGGATAAATAAGTATACACGATATGATGTAAAGCGAAATGACAGTAGTTTGTTGGATTATGTATTGGTAGATAAAAGACTGTTGAGTAGACTTCAGGATGTACATGTTTATCGAGGGGCCACAGATATATCAGATCACTTTCTAGTTGTAGCTACACTGAGAGTAAAAGGTAGATGGGATACAAGGAGAATAGAAGCATCAGGGAAGAGAGAGGTGAAGGTTTATAAACTAAAAGAGGAGGCAGTTAGGGTAAGATATAAACAGCTATTGGAGGATAGATGGGCTAATGAGAGCATAGGCAATGGGGTCGAAGAGGAATGGGGTAGGTTTAAAAATGTAGTGTTAGTGTTCAGCAGAAGTTTGTGGTTACAGGAAAGTGGGTGCAGGAGGGAAGAGGAGCGATTGGTGGAATGATGATGTAAAGAGAGTAGTAAGGGAGAAAAAGTTAGCATATGAGAAGTTTTTACAAAGTAGAAGTGATGCAAGGAGGGAAGAGTATATGGAGAAAAAGAGAGAGGTTAAGAGAGTGGTGAAGCAATGTAAAAAGATAGCAAATGAGAGAGTGGGTGAGCTGTTATCAACAAATTTTGTTGAAAATAAGAAAAAGTTTTGGAGTGAGATTAACAAGTTAAGGAAGCCTAGAGAACAAATGGATTTGTCAGTTAAAAATAGGAGAGGAGAGTTATTAAATGGAGAGTTAGAGGTATTGGGAAGATGGAGGGAATATTTTGAGGAATTGTTAAATGTTGATGAAGATAGGGAAGCTGTGATTTCGTGTATAGGGCAAGGAGGAATAACATCTTGTAGGAGTGAGGAAGAGCCAGTTGTGAGTGTGGGGGAAGTTCGTGAGGCAGTAGGTAAAATGAAAGGGGGTAAGGCAGCCGGGATTGATGGGATAAAGATAGAAATGTTAAAAGCAGGTGGGGATATAGTTTTGGAGTGGTTGGTGCAATTATTTAATAAATGTATGGAAGAGGGTAAGGTACCTAGGGATTGGCAGAGAGCATGCATAGTTCCTTTGTATAAAGGCAAAGGGGATAAAAGAGAGTGCAAAAATTATAGGGGGATAAGTCTGTTGAGTGTACCTGGTAAAGTGTATGGTAGAGTTATAATTGAAAGAATTAAGAGTAAGACGGAGAATAGGATAGCAGATGAACAAGGAGGCTTTAGGAAAGGTAGGGGGTGTGTGGACCAGGTGTTTACAGTGAAACATATAAGTGAACAGTATTTAGATAAGGCTAAAGAGGTCTTTGTGGCATTTATGGATTTGGAAAAGGCGTATGACAGGGTGGATAGGGGGGCAATGTGGCAGATGTTGCAAGTGTATGGTGTAGGAGGTAGGTTACTGAAAGCAGTGAAGAGTTTTTACGAGGATAGTGAGGCTCAAGTTAGAGTATGTAGAAAAGAGGGAAATTTTTTCCCAGTAAAAGTAGGCCTTAGACAAGGATGTGTGATGTCACCGTGGTTGTTTAATATATTTATAGATGGGGTTGTAAGAGAAGTAAATGCGAGGGTCTTGGCAAGAGGCGTGGAGTTAAAAGATAAAGAATCACACACAGGGTGGGAGTTGTCACAGCTGCTCTTTGCTGATGACACTGTGCTCTTGGGAGATTCTGAAGAGAAGCTGCAGAGATTGGTGGATGAATTTGGTAGGGTGTGCAAAAGAAGAAAATTAAAGGTGAATACAGGAAAGAGTAAGGTTATGAGGATAACAAAAAGATTAGGTGATGAAAGATTGAATATCAGATTGGAGGGAGAGAGTATGGAGGAGGTGAACGTATTCAGATATTTGGGAGTGGACGTGTCAGCGGATGGGTCTATGAAAGATGAGGTGAATCATAGAATTGATGAGGGAAAAAGAGTGAGTGGTGCACTTAGGAGTCTGTGGAGACAGAGAACTTTGTCCTTGGAGGCAAAGAGGGGAATGTATGAGAGTATAGTTTTACCAACACTCTTATATGGGTGTGAAGCATGGGTGATGAATGTTGCAGCGAGGAGAAGGCTGGAGGCAGTGGAGATGTCATGTCTGAGGGCAATGTGTGGTGTGAATATAATGCAGAGAATTCGTAGTTTGGAAGTTAGGAGGAGGTGCGGGATTACCAAAACTGTTGTCCAGAGGGCTGAGGAAGGGTTGTTGAGGTGGTTCGGACATGTAGAGAGAATGGAGCGAAACAGAATGACTTCAAGAGTGTATCAGTCTGTAGTGGAAGGAAGGCGGGGTAGGGGTCGGCCTAGGAAGGGTTGGAGGGAGGGGGTAAAGGAGGTTTTGTGTGCGAGGGGCTTGGACTTCCAGCAGGCATGCGTGAGCGTGTTTGATAGGAGTGAATGGAGACAAATGGTTTTTAATACTTGACGTGCTGTTGGAGTGTGAGCAAAGTAACATTTATGAAGGGATTCAGGGAAACTGGCAGGCCGGACTTGAGTCCTGGAGATGGGAAGTACAGTGCCTGCACTCTGAAGGAGGGGTGTTAATGTTGCAGTTTAAAAACTGTAGTGTAAAGCACCCTTCTGGCAAGACAGTGATGGAGTGAATGATGGTGAAAGTTTTTCTTTTTCGGGCCACCCTGCCTTGGTGGGAATCGGCCAGTGTGATAATAAAAAAAAATAATAATAATTAGTATTATTTATATACCAGGTTAGTACTAGTGTGTGTAAAGTATTAGTAGAGTGTGTGTAAAGGTAGAAAGTTGAAAGTGAACATAGAAAAGAGTAAGGTGATGAGGGTATCAAATGATTTAGATAAAGAAAAATTGGATATCAAATTGGGGAGGAGGAGTATGGAAGAAGTGAATGTTTTCAGATACTTGGGAGTTGATGTGTCGGCGGATGGATTTATGAAGGATGAGGTTAATCATAGAATTGATGAGGGAAAAAAGGTGAATAGTGCATTGAGGTATATGTGGAGACAAAAAAATGTTATCTATTGAGGCAGAAAAGGGAATGTATGAAAGTATAGTAGTACCAACACTCTTATATGGGTGTGAAGCTTGGGTTGTAAATGCAGCAGCAAGGAGGTGGTTGGAGGCAGTGAGATGTCCTGTCTAAGGGCAATGTGTGGTGTAAATATTATGCAGAAAATTCGGAGTGTGGAAATTAGGAGAAGGTGTGGAGTTAGTAAAAGTTTTAGTCAGAGGGCTGAAGAGGGGTTGTTGAGGTGGTTTGGTCATTTAGAGAGAATGGATCAAAGTAGAATGACATGGAGAGCATTTAAATCTGTAAGGAAAGGAAGGCGGGGTAGGGGTCATCCTCGAAGAGGTTGGAAGGAAGCGGTAAGGGAGGTTTTGTGGGTGAGGGGCTTGGACTTCCAGCAGGCGTGCGTGAGCGTGTTCGATGAGAGTGAATGGAGTTGAATGGTATTTGGGACGTGATGATCTGTTGGAGTGTGAGCAGGGTAATATTTAGTGAAAGGATTCAGGGAAACCGGTTATTTTTATTTACCCGGACTTGAGTCCTGGAAATGGGAAGTACAAGGGCCTGTATTTCTAAAGGGGGGGGGTTGGGGGATTTTGGGGCCATTTTGGAAAGGGCTTTTACGGGAAACCCCGACATTCGAGGGCATCGACATTCGTTTAAACCCAACATTCGTGCATTTTTAACAAAAAATTTTCGCCTCCCCATTCGAGGGAAAAACCCCGACTTTTTGGTTTTACAATTCGTATGAGAGTGCCCCCCTTTAGGGCCTTGAACTGATTTTGTGTCCCAATTTTTCCCAACCCAGCAAGTGTGCGTGCATCAAAGGTACATTGGTGCTTTCCCAAATTTTAAACATTTTTCCCCTTTGTTTTTGGTTTTTTTTCTAAAAAATTAAGTAACCAGGGGCCCCCAAAAAAGCTTCTAGTCCCAAAACCCCTTTCCAAAAAAAAAAAGGGTGAAATGAAATTGAAATAAAGAAAGAGATAATTGCAAAGTACAATTTTTGGTGCTTTGTGTTGGGT